ACTTCTCTTCTCGACTCCTCTAACACGACTCCTCTACTCGAGGGTCTACTCTCGACTAACTTAACTAAAACTAGCCTATTCCACCCTATTCTATTGTTATGCTGTTGCTATCCTATCTTAATTTATTCTGATTCTATTCCTATCCTATCTTAATCTATTCTTATTCTATTTCTATCTTACCTTAACCTAGCACTCCTAACGAAGGATGACCTTGGGTCCTCACAACACTTACAAACACTTCAAAATTGAGCGGAGTTATATAAAACTTGTATAAACCTTCATAAACAGTCTTAAACAGTCTTAAAAACGTAGTTAAACATCAAAACTTTGCTGGTTTTCTTGCACGATTTTCCTTAAATAGCGTTGTGGATTGATGTTTTTAAACTAAACCTTACCTTTACTTTGCGGTTTCCTTGCACGATTTTCCACACAACAAAATATAACACCAGCGAAGTGTAAGCATTTCTAAACACACCCGAAATTTGACCGTTACAATTGTATCCCAATATTTCTCCCCATAATGACTTATAACAATAATGTACAGAACTCACAAAAATCACAACACATTCAAATTAACCACAATCCAAACTTAAAATGGCACTAATATAAACAATACAATTATAACGAAATCGTAGCTGATAGATTAAATAAACCAACTTGTAATAAATTAGTCTTGAATCTTTGCTAACCTTCAATGCACGCTGGAACACGTCACTAGAATAAAGTTTAATTAATAAATCTCCAATAAATGGAAAACAAAACTTGAAAGACTTGGTTAAAATATCATAAATTATGTAATATAAAAATATCAATAAACACGTAGTACCCTAAAATTAGAATTTTCTTACCTGGTTGGTTTCTTAATCTCAGAAAAGAATACGGTTTTTCGCATTTTCTAAATTTTTTCGACATTTGTGTTGATATTTATGTTGATATTTACGCAGCCAGTTAGGATCGTTTTTGAATTTAACACAAGATTCAGATCTAGGTCTGAAACCTGTGGATATATAATCACGTTAGATTGACTGGAAGCGTTAGTTAGAAGCTTTACTCAGGATTTCCTGTAACTAATTGCATTCGCAATATGTTATTGATAGTCACGAGTTTGGTAACGCGCGATTTTGGTGTTTCATTGGTGCCGAGGTTGCGTTTATCAGGCGAAGCCGTTATTGTGTTTTACAAAACATTGGCGTAAGGAATTTTACGATCCCTATGTCGGCAAGCGCCTATTCCCTTCGCTTGTCAGACCTTACTAGAACACTCAGTCTATGTATGATAACCAATATAGATGCCCCGGTAATTATTAATCTTACTGTACTTGGTCTGACGGATTTTCAAGTCGCGAGGGCATTCGCATAAAAATAGATATAGAATTTTCATGTGACTACCAAAATTTAACTGAATAAACAAATAAAAAGCTAGACAAGTAATTAAATAAATACAAAGAAAACTTGAAATTCGTAATGTCGATTGTGTGACGTTAGTCCTGATATATTGATTGATCACTTTTCTATCTAATCTAATTCTATTTGTAGCAATCGTCCCTTGCTTGTGAATAACGAAATAATATATAGATACCGTCAAACGTTTTAATTCCCTCACTTTGTCGGTCATGATAACATCGGTATCAAATATTTTAAAACTAGTTCTCTACGGTGTTATCTTACCTTTGACTGATATGTTTAATCGCATAATAACGACTTGCTTATTTCCTAATTGCTGGAAAAAAGCGATGATAACCCCCATGGTAGCTTTTCTTTTATTTATTTTCATTTATTTCGCTATTCTTATCATAGATTTGTTTGGACTCAGGATAGTCATTGTCTTAATTAGAATAACATCAGAAGACGAGAGCTGCTAGTGTAAGGATTAAATTCGTAATTCTTTGGCGTGGGATATACCTATCCTTTCACTTTTAAGGTCTTTCTTTTAAGATCATAATAGCGCAACCTATGCTTAGCTACAACTTTGGCATTTTCAAATTGATTTGCAAAGTTACTATTATAGAGAGATCCAATAAACGGCTTTGGGCAAAATATCTTCTAAAGACGGTTTGTCCAACCTGACAAGCAACTAGATTTGTACGCAAGTTGTATATAAGTAGTAGCGTATCAATTATAGTCAAATTATTCTTCTAACATAAATTATGCAAACCCAAATTGTTAATTTTCTCCAAGTCTTCGGAAAGAATACGAAGCAATCAATGAGACGGTACGTGTTGATTTCCTTTTCGCTGTGTAATTGAGAAATTGAAACCTTGTGATTTCAATGTCTATCTAGCCAATGGACGAGGAGGATATATTTTCACAAAGGATCTTCGGCGAAAGGGTCGAATAAAGTTAATTTTTAGATACAAATTTTGTTCTAGCATTAGTTTTCCTCTAAAACTAATATGTCTGCTGTCGTCAGCTGTCCTCGAAGATACAGCGAACTCCTTCCCAGGATATTTATTTTCCTGAGGAAACCTTTTTGTATAATCGCCAGGAAAACGAAACAGATGCACTGGTATCAACCATACTACTACCACATCAAATAGTTGCAAATCACTTGAGGGAACGTTAAAAAACCCGTGCAGCAAAATTGTCTTCTGTTGTTTGGGGCAAATTTCCAAACGCAACTTAAGCAGCTGATGAACCGCTTAGGTCTTTCGTAAACTGCAGAAGAAGACAAAATTTCATGGGCTTTTCTGGGTTTAACTGTATTGTAATCTCGTAAGCGTACATGGTAAGGTTTCAGAATGATTTTCGGACAGACTGTGTGAAGCTTCATTCACGAACTGAGTTATATCAAAGTATAGCCTACAAAAAGATATTCTGCTAACAGATGATTTGCTTTGTGTGGTCGATGTATTTGTTTTAACTTGACCTTTTAGTTCAGATTTTTGTTCAGAATTAACAGGCGAGGGATCTTTGTTACTAGCCGATGAAGCTAAGTGATCAGTTTCAGTGCCAATTTTATGTGGCCTAAATAATGGACTCAATTTGGAATATGCTCGTTTCGAACCATCGAAAGGCAATTCAGTTAAATTTTACAGCTTCAACTTCTTGGGCCCACAAAACTTTATATTAACGGGACTTCTTGCTATTGAAATTTGTGGTTCCATGAAGTATAAACTAATATCTCAAGAGCTTGAAAATTCTGCGGGCACAGGGTCCAGTGTGTGAAGCAAATGTTTTACTAAATCTGACTGTTTAGCACCATCTCTTAAACGAGATGCCATATTTATATTACTAATTGAACGTCGTATATATAAAAAAACAAAAACCAGAGTGAATTTTGTGCCAGTCTTTTACAAATTGCCAAAAAAAAGGGACAAGAATTATAAAGAAGCTAGCTTGTGAAGGAAAAATAACATCACACCAAGTAAGAAACGCGTCGAGAAGCGGAATTAATTACACAAAATTAAACGAAAACTAAAAAAAATATTTTAAAAAAATATGTATTAATTTATATTTGGCTTAAAAATTAGAAAAAAAATAAATACCTAATTATATGTAAAAAAATCCATTATGACATTAATGAGGTAGAAGTATAGGAGATTTCGCAACGAGGAGGTAAGTGCGTGCGTGTGTGTGGTATAGCCACGGACGGTGACTGAACGGACCGTGACCGGTTGTGTTACATCATGCCTTTAGTGATCCCGTTATGTTGAAAAATTAATTATAATTTACTTTTGTAAATGTAGCTGGGCTACCCGGGCGGTACAAAGTACAGCCACAGCTCTATATAAATACATTAGAAGTTATGCAGTACCGATCTAGTTCCTTACTTGTGTGGTTGTTTTATTTAAAAATATATACAAGTCAACAAAAAGGCAACTATCGCTTCTTTAGTGCGTTGTACAAAAAATTGAAATTTCTTTCTTTCTTTTTTAGTCAGGAAGCAATTAACCACTTCTAATAATTTTTGTTTCTCTACAATGTCACTGCTTTACCCGTGTTTTTTTATTATTATTACTATTGTAAATTTAGCCAGACAATAAATTCTAAGACTAAAGTCTTAAAGTACTAGCATCTAAGGCTTTCGACTTTATTAAAAACCCTATTGCACTTGAGATTTGAACCCGCGACCATTGAGTTACTAGTCAAAAGTCTTGCCCACTCAGCCACTCAGGCGGATAAGCGTGTTTCTTTTTACTAATATGCGCTGCACAGTTTGTATAGATTTGTTTGATGTTGCAGCTATTGTTAGTGTTATCCATTAATTTATCAATTTGGCTTGTTTGAATGTTCATATTGCTCAACAAAGCTAAACAAGACAAATTTTATATATATATATAAATATATTTGACAATGCAGCCAAGTCAAATCAAAATAGATAAAAAAAAGGCAGAAACATTATTCTAATGAAAGGATTATTACATTAAAAGTACGTATTAAATGCTATATTAGGGGAAAAGAAGTTAACTTTAAACAAATAGATACGCAGGATAAAATTAGCAATTTTAATATTGCATTTATTATGAAAACTAAACGCCACCATGAGTACACAGCCTTCTTCAACTTTCTGGCCACATCGTTCGTCACGTATTTGTTGTCTGCTGCTTATTGGTTTGTCAATCGACGAGTCATATAGTGAAAATTTTTATATATTTTAAATATAAGTATATTTATCAATAAATATCTATAAGACACACAGATATTTTATAGTGATTATAATTTATAAAAAGATACGTGCGATCTGCTTTATTGTCTTTCTATGAAATAGTAACGATATAAACTATTCATTGTATGTTTTGTGCGTATGCATGTCTGTGCGTGAAATATTTTTTCTGTTGCCATACCTAAAAAGAATTTCGATTAATTTTCATTTTCTATTCAATTTCAATAGTAAAAAGACAAATACTGTGCATAAAAAATCCCATGAACAAGAGATCTTATGTTGCGAAGTTAAATGAATATGAGTGCAAAATGTATTACAAAATTAAAAATCATCGAATTTAAACAGCATATGTTTCTAATATTTGATTTTTTCTTTTTCGCTCCAATATGTTTAACACTTCACAGCATTTTTCGGAAAAAGTATAATGAACTACATCCAAATTTTCCGAAGTTTCCTGCGTTTTCCCTTAAATTGCACTCCTATGGAGCTTTCCTCATCATGCAGGAATTAATTCATTACTTTTTCTTCACAGTTCACATACATATGTCAGCAGATCACACGTATACGAAAAAAATTAGGGGCTAGAATTTGCCTGTAAGTGTAAATACTGAAATATTATGTCAGAAAATGTGTAGTGACTGCTCGACACGAAATCAGCTTAACAATGCAATTGAATTTTTGAAATTTTAATAAAATTGAAATTTTTTAGAGGAAACCAGGTGCTTGTGGTGTTCCATTTAAAAGAACTTTATAAAAACAATTGAATAAATAATATATAAATAAAAACATTGTGCTAGAAAATGTCTGCGGAACGTGAAATACCAGCTGAGGATAGCATTAAAGTTGTCTGCCGTTTTCGTCCACTTAACGATAGCGAAGAAAAGGCCGGCTCAAAGTTTATTGTGAAGTTTCCTAACAGCGCTGAAGAAAATTGTTTATCTATAGCGGTAAGCCTTTTTTAAATAATTCCCTATCGCGTTTGTAAATGAACACAGAAGTTTTCATTTTTAGGGTTATGTTTGATTGTAGAATGACATCATTTTGTTGTTGCTTGGTCGGTCCTTTCTCTCGTTAACAAGAAGTTTTATGTGCACATAAGGACAAATAAAAATTAACAAATGTTAAATTATTAAACAAAAGTGCTTCCATTTTATTATACTAAGCAAATAGCTACACTCCTTAAAACACTGGAAGAAGGATTAAGTAAGGGGCTTGAGGGTATATAATAGAACATTACTGTTTTTAGTGGATAGATGCGATTTCCAGTTGTGAAGCGCTTGCTTATCTACAAGAGTGCTGTATGGGTTCTGCACAACATATATTTAAAATAATATCTGAGTAAAGTACTGAGTACGAAGTATTTGTTAAAAGAATCTGCGCCAATTTTAATGAATTCAAAAATGTATGTATGCATTTCTTAAGGAAATGAGACTTAATGTAATATTGAGTAAAAAGGGAAAAGGAAAAGTTTTCAAACTTTTACTCCCAACCCACATTCATGACTCATATGATTTATATGCATATGCATAAACTTACAAATACTGATGCACTAAACATTGAGACACGACCGCTACTTAAAACAGATTAATAAATAAGAGTTAGATAAACAGTAATTGAAATAATGTTAGAATAGATCGATTTAAGATTTTTGCCCATGTGTGTTTGCACTCCACCTACAAGTTGCAATTTTGTCGATATTTTGACGATGCATTGATGCGCTTCGGCCCAAGTACGGGCGCTACTAAAAACGAATTGGATCGAGTGGATCACGTTGACCTAGGTATCTATTTTATCGACATATCATGGAAAATGTGCCTTTAGGTATTATTTTTGGCTTTTTATCACGAAAACAAACGACGTAGAAGTAGAGCAAAATACTAGATTAGCACGACCATATGCCTACACGACAAAAACTTTTATTTTGAAAATAGGAAAAATCAACTGCGCCTACACCATCTCAAACATCACGAAAATTTTGTTCTTTTACTTCTTTTGTCTTTTTTAGGATAACGGTGGTAGGTATAAAAGATTCGGCTCCGACTGAATTTAATTTTCTTACTTGCTTTTTGTTATCCTGTTTCCTCGTTAATGTCCCGGTATTAAAGAGAATTTGAAATGGTTTACCAGCAAAGAATCGTTCATGCAACTTATCTGCTGCCAGAATTAATGCAACGTTTACGTTAATATTGCAAAGCGTAATGCTCTATGTTTAACGTTTGCTTATCATTATTTATATCATCCTTAATATTAACGATGATATTCTGCGTTGTGTGTTGAAATTTGACGCATATATCGATCAAGAAGTCGAACTTAAGGAAGGACTGAGATTTAGCCAGAAGCACACCTTCAACATATAAAAAAAAAAACTGAGCCAAGCTGTAAGAAAAGGCTTTTTTCTCTTATTTTTATCATAAGAATCATACAATCTTGTGAGGGCTTCAAAAAAAAAATTTAATTCAGATATTTATCGGCATTATTTAATTATTTGTTCCAAAATTATTCGCGATCGCATAACTAACACAATTAGTGCTTAGAGAATTAGTATTCCGTGTTACATTTTTTGATTGATAAATAAAGAAATGCAATTAAAAAATATAATTTTTATTTACATTTTGTGATTGCAGTTATAATTGCAAACAACACGTTTTACAAAAATACATCCTTTTCTTTTTGAAATAATGTAATGTTACAAATCAAATGCGAAAATTAGTATATAGCATTTCTTCGAGTGATAAGCAGGAAAACTGAGCGTGTAAGGTCCTTAAATGTACGTCTGTTTGATACTTAAAAACCCATATACATAGCGATGAGCAAATATCTTAGATATTAAAAAATATAGTTTGCTTAGTAACTAATGCTAATGATTCAGAAACTAGTTGTTATCGTGAAGTACAATATATATCAAGGATTACCACTAAACTGACACACAAGTTAATGGAATCAGTAGGGATCAAGTTATTAATCCCATCTTACCATTGAGCAGCCATTCTGCAAGGCCTCTTGGTGCAATCATTACATGTAAAGATGTAGTGACGCTTAAGAAAATAAAAACCTCCCGGTGAATATCACAACGGCTGCAGTTTCATACGATTCATATAATTCTTATCAAGGGCTTGCATGTACTTTGATCATTTTTTCGCTTCAAACGGTAATTTGCTGAGAAAAAGTGGTACAATATAAAATAATGAGGAGTTTCTACATTGTGAGTACGCTTTCCATTCTTCCCATTCGAACGGTAACAGTGACAACTGGCACATGGTGGACCAGCACAGACAAAAGCTTCTAAAAGGATGTCTTCAGATCACATAAAAGTAAACGAAAATGAAATTTTGAGCGTTTCATGATTAGCGCTTGTATGCACTGAATTGCTCAATGATTTTTCACTTGAAATAAGCATTTATTGTGGAAAATTGGTACAATGTTAATCAAAATAGCTTCCATCATTTTCTACGTCATTTTACAATATTTTTGGTAACATGCCGATATCATGTCGAAAGAACTTATACTGGTTTGGCAGCGATCCATCCACCGAACCATTTTCACTCTTCTTCAGTTCAGCAAATCCGCGTGCATCTGAACAAGTGTAATCAGGAGACGCCATGTCTGGTGAGTACGCTTGGCAGAACTTCCTATTCGAGTTGCAGCACTGTATCCTGGCTAACTCTTGTAACAAGTGCCTGTAAATCGGAATTTTCATTCAATTCGTGCCGGCACTTCTAAACCGTTGAAGACAAAACCGACAATTGGGATGTGATGGAGCAACATCACCTTAAGCCTCTCAACTTGTTTGGTGGGCTTCGACAGCAGCTTTCTTCAAATAAACAACATGAATTTGGAAAAAAAAGAATTTTAAACGGTTCATGATTAGCGTTGTACGGTGAATGAGTCAATAATGTTAATTGGAAAATTGTTATTTTATGTAGAGAAGGTCAAAGCCATCGAATTCAACCATTATTATACTGGTATTTCCTATTGGTTTATCATTTTCTCTCTCGTGAACATTTTTTCAAACACCTAATACTAAATGCAAAACTCTTTTTATGTCAAGAAGGAAGGGCAAGATCATCGAATTTAAATGTTGTGTATATTGATACTTCCAATTACGTTGTCGTTTGCACTAATAAATGTTGCTGATCAAAATACATGCAAGCACCTAGTATATCAGTACTGATATTTTAAAATGAGACGTGTAATTTAGTTTAAAACAATCATGTATTGATACAGTTGTTAAAGACTGTCTTACATTTAAGAAAAAACCTACTTGATACCTGTCCTCTCCAATCTATATGCCACCAAGTTCCATCAATTTTGGGACGGCAACGCAAAAAAATGCTGATGATTGCTGCTAGTAAATCTTTTAAAGAAGCATCTAAAAATCTTGCTTCTAAAGTTAACCTCTGTTTTGATGCATTTCCTTATGTCTTAACCTTAACTTCAACCCAAATAAAACGAATGCAATATATTTTGCAAAAGGTTGCAGAAAGCTCATACTTCAATTAAATTTTTCGGCATGATCACCAATGCAAGTCTAACCGTTCAATAACACTACTTTGAATTTCTCAATGACTGTAAGTGCCGATCTAACATCGTCAATTTGATGGCTTGCCTTCATACGGGGTGCCCCAAGAAAAGCACTCACAATTTACAAATCACTTATCCGCCCAAAAATAGGATTTTTCCTCTCCACCACTTGTAACCTTCCTAACTATGTTACCAAAAGAATCTATTCAAAACAAGCTACTAAGACCATGTACGGCTCTCTCGCTCTCCACACTGGTTCCCATCTTTAGAGGCCTATCTGATGAACTGCCTATTCTTAAGAAATTCTGAAAGTCAAAATCATCAGACCGTCTTCTTTCAGATGATAGTTTACAGGGCATAAATTTCCGACAGCAGATCCGCCCAGACCTTAATTAAAAAAAATTTACTCGCAATATGTATATATTTGAATTCCATAACATGTTAACTATTTCTGATTTAGATGCGTGTCATCTGTTTTGGATTCCAGATCGTTGTGGCGTTTTTTAAAATGAAAATGCTCACTTTTAATGCTTGTGAAGCTCGGCTAGGGGCAGAAATTCTCTCAATTAACGACATAGTTGTGGTTACCGTATACATCAATACTGTACTATATTAACATTTACATCGTACGAAAAAACATGCGATCAACCTAAATTTAGGTTCAACAGGACCAAAAACATAAGAAGAAAGTACAAGTTTCCGTGGAATAGTAGGTATTTTCATAATTGTAAAGTTGATGTGATCGTCAGCAGTCAGTCTAGTTAACTTTAAAACCAAGATTTACCACCTCAGTTGTACATCTGCAAATGAAACACGAGGCAGGGAGCTAATATCGAACCTAGTATGTATTATCGCGTTGGCTTTAATCTAAGCTGCATACAACTTTAAATTGTTCTTGGCAGACCAAGGTGTAATCAACATTGACCCGACAAGCCCATCTGCTAGTACAAGGGGACGAGAGAAGTAGATCTGAGCGTCATCGGCATACGAATGAGTCTTGCTGTTTATGCAACAAGTAACCAGATCCTTTATAATTATCTTGAATAGAATCGGCCCATAAACAGAGCCTTTTGAAACGTGAGAAAACAAATCTCTTACATCCGAGCAAGACTTGCCCACATTAACATACTGAGAACGATTATTTAAGTAGGGCTTGGTAAAAGTCGTTGCTGTGGGACTGAGCCCGAAATAAAACTAAATTTTCCAACAATAAGGTATGATCTACCGTGTCGAAAACTGGAAAAGTCAACCACTATTAAAATTGTCAGCATATTGTGCACGAATGTTTTGCAAAACCTTGAGCACTGCAGTATTGCAGCCGACTGGACGGGACTAAGCAAAGATTTAGATTGCAAGTTTACTCCAATTTAATTGACTACTAAATACTCAAAGACCTTCGGAAGAGCCGGTAAAATACTTACTGAGCGAAAATCTCCTGTAGATATAAGTGAAATTCGTTAACCCACAGAAATAAAAGAGCCAACTTCCAACAATCAGAAAATATGCCACTAGTAATAACGTGATTAAAAAACTTGTGTCAATGGATTAAATAAATATGTAAGGACAATTTTTCGAAATCTTATTACGTACTGAAATTCAACAGCGTTAGACCTAATACATAAAACTGCTCGCCAGACTTCTCCCACTGTAAAGGATTTGAAATGAAAACTGTAACGGTGCCCGTACAGTAAGTCACTATCAAGTTGTAAAAAAATGTTAGCTGTTATATTACTAGTAACAAATTCGTTTAATATTTCAGGATTCACTGGACCTTCGACTGACTCTTCCGTGTTCGTATCTCTTATAAGTTCTCCCATAGTACTTTGGATCGAAGATGCGTCTTCAATTTTCTAGCAAATCCCATGTACTTTACGGAAAGCTTACCAACTGACTGCATTTTAACTGGCTTTCCATGTGTCATAGTCCCTGTCGCTGTCTCTAATCGTTCGATAACTTTCCGTGGTGAATCGCAGCATTATGGAGTGTTTAATAAAACACTTCCTATTAGGATCATGATCATAGAGCAACTTAAGCAGATTGGATGTCAAATATTAAAGCTTATCATTAATATATATTGTAGAAGGTAATATAACCTACAAAAGACTTCTCATGATCAGGGAAACCGCTCATGGATATTTGATCGTAATGTAGAACTAGTGAGCTGCCAGAGATAAAATACCTGGCAGCGACGGTGGTCTATTTCTAGCGCCCCTTTTAAAAAATTATCTTCCCCACCAAAGTAAAATGCCGACAATGTCAAAATATTTTTACTAACCCAAAAATGTTTTTTACACTCTACATTAATTGTGACAGGTTAAATTTGGGCAGATGTATACAACACCCAAAACGTTCTCGAGTACATCAAACTTATTTTATATGAAATGGGTCAGATTTAAATCGTCTTCACCGTTTTCATGTGACTGTCTTCAAGCTTGTAAGTCTCAGTTTTCGCAGTATTCTAAAGAAATTTGATATAAGGACACGTTTTTGTCTTATTGAAAATGCATAGAAAACTCTATTATAAACAATAGTCGGGCAAATAGCATAATCGCTTAGTGGAATTCTTCAAATATTTGCGTGGGAAAGTACCAAAATTGTATCCTAATTTCTTATAACGAACTACCTTCCATGGGAATCCTTATATAGTCGCGAATCCAACTGATATAATCCATAGTGCAATTAATTATTTAGTCAAAGGGCTTGCTATTATTATTGTTCACCCGTTTCCATCATAAAATACCAAAAATGAGGAACAAAGACTTACTTTTGACGAAAACGTTTATATAAAAAGGCATCTGAAAAACATATTTATAGTTGCAAGCTTTGCATATTAATTTTGTCCGTTAAATCAAATAGTTCTAAATTACTTTTCATTAAAATTAGCAAAAATTAACTTTGATCCCATAAAAGGTCTATGTTTTGCAAGAATATTTATAAAAGACTCCACTCAAAGAATAAATCCGTTCTACTCAAATTTCTCATAATCACTTAGTCCGCCAAATTCTTTTACGCGCTTATTCTCTTAATATTTTTGCTTACGAAAAAGTTTCGCGAATTCCCGCTTTCATCAACGTAGGATTTAAATAAAAAGTTACTGTTCTTATTTATTTAGTATTGTTCACTATTTCAAACAACACCGTGACAGTAATAATAATTCATCGAATTTAAAAATATCATGAAACGCTCGTTCTTCTTTAGTTAAAAACGCAAGTGTGAAATAAAGAGACCGTGTTCTCTTTTTTAAAAACTTAAGAAGCTTCGCTTTCCTTAAAAACAGGACATATTTTTTTTAGGGACGGGATTTCTTATCTCTAAAATGAACGATTTCCTTTATTACTTATTTGGCCTTTCCACTTTACCTTTCAGGGTAAAGTTTATTTGTTTGACAAAGTGTTCAAACCTAATGCTTCGCAGGAGAAAGTATACAATGAAGCTGCGAAGTCGATTGTCACCGATGTGCTTGCGGGTTACAATGGCACTATATTCGCCTATGGTCAAACATCATCGGGTAAAACACATACCATGGAAGGTGTTATCGGTGATTCGGTTAAGCAGGGTATTATACCACGTATCGTGAATGATATATTTAATCACATTTATACTATGGAAATGAATTTGGAATTTCATATTAAAGTGTCATATTATGAAATTTACATGGACAAAATTCGCGATTTATTAGACGTATCGAAAGTCAATTTGAGCGTACATGAAGATAAGAATCGTGTACCTTATGTGAAAGGTGCCACTGAACGTTTTGTCTCATCGCCAGATGATGTGTTTGAGGTTATTGAAGAGGGAAAGTCGAATCGTCATATTGCTGTTACAAGTAAGTACGCTTATTAATATATTTCGCAGACAATTTGCACTAAGCACTGCTATTTACAGATATGAATGAACACTCATCTCGCTCGCATTCAGTATTCTTAATAAATGTTAAACAGGAAAATTTAGAAAATCAGAAAAAGCTTTCCGGTAAATTATATTTGGTAGATTTGGCCGGATCAGAAAAAGTTTCGAAGACTGGTGCTGAGGGTACTGTTTTGGACGAAGCAAAAAATATTAATAAATCTTTATCTGCTTTGGGTAATGTGATTTCTGCTTTGGCTGATGGCAATAAGACGCACATACCTTACCGCGATTCGAAGTTAACCCGTATTCTGCAGGAATCTTTGGGTGGTAATGCCCGCACAACAATAGTGATTTGCTGTTCTCCTGCCAGCTTTAATGAAGCCGAAACTAAATCGACTCTGGAATTTGGGCGACGCGCAAAGACAGTCAAGAATGTTGTCTGTGTCAACGAGGAACTTACAGCAGAAGAGTGGAAGCGTCGTTATGAGAAAGAGAAAGAAAAGAACGCACGTTTGAAGGGCAAAGTGGAGAAACTCGAATTAGAGCTATCACGTTGGCGGGCAGGCGAAACGGTTAATGCCGATGAACAAGTGAACGTCGATGATCTCATGGAAGCTAGCACGCCCAACCTGGAAGTAGAGACTACCGTTAACTCTACGCCAGCCGGTCCCGTGCCAGCGACTCCAGCTGCCGGACTTATGTTGGGTTCCATTAGCAGCGATGAGCGGGCGCGTTTAGAAGCGGAACGAGAACGCTTGTATCAGCAGTTGGACGAGAAAGACGAAGAAATCAATCAGCAGAGCCAATACGTAGAAAATTTAAAGGAACAAATAATTGAACAAGAAGAACTTATCGCCAATGCTCGTCGAGAATACGAAACTTTACAATCGGAAATGGCTCGTATTCAACAAGAAAATGAATCGGCCAAAGAGGAAGTTAAGGAAGTGCTGCAAGCTTTGGAAGAATTAGCCGTGAACTATGACCAAAAGTCTCAGGAGATTGAGACCAAAAATAAAGACATTGATAACTTGAATGAAGAATTGCAGCAAAAGCAAGGCTTGCTAAGCACAACCAGCACGGAGCTGCAACAGTTACGGGACATGTCATCACATCAAAGAAAGCGCATCAACGAAATGTTAAGCAATTTATTACGTGATTTAACCGAAGTGGGGCAGGCTTTGGTATCGAATGATTCGGCCATTGACATGAAGATGAACAACATACCCAGCGGTGGTGACAGTGGCAAAGTTGAAGAAGACTTTACAATGGCGCGTCTATATATCAGCAAAATGAAAACCGAAGCAAAAAATATGGCCCAACGTTGCGCTAATGTGGAAGCACTGCAGCTTGACTCTAATAAGAAGCTTTCAGAATATGAAAAAGATCTCGGCGAATATCGCCTATTAATCTCTCAACATGAAGCTCGTATGAAGTCTTTGCAAGAGTCGATGAGAGAAGCAGAAAATAAGAAACGTGCGCTAGAAGAACAAATCGATTCGTTGCGTGAAGAATGCGCCAAATTGAAGGCAGCTGAACATGTGTCAGCTGTTAACGCAGAAGAAAAACAAAAAGCCGAACAACTGCGAGCTATGTTCGATTCGCAAATGGATGAATTGCGTGAAGTTCACACTAAGCAAGTATCAGAGTTGCGTGATGAAATCATTGCCAAGCAACATGAAATGGATGAAATGAAAGATGTACACCAAAAACTCGTATTAGCTCACCAGCAAATGACTGCAGACTATGAAAAACTTAAACAAGAGGAAGCTGACAAATCCAGCAGATTACAAGAAATAATTCTCAACAATGAACGACGTGAACAGGCACGTAAAGATCTTAAAGGCCTTGAAGATACCGTAGCTAAGGAACTGCAGACATTACATAATTTGCGAAAATTATTCGTACAAGACTTACAAGTATGTACAGAAAAATAATTAATAATGAAAACTCGGTGTTTTTAATTAATTTTGTTTTTTGTATTCAGGCAAGAATTAAGAAAACAGTGATCAATGAGGACAGCGAAGAAGATGGTGGCTCGTTGGCTCAGAAACAGAAAATCTCATTCCTTGAAAATAATTTGGATCAGTTGACAAAGGTGCACAAACAGTTGGTGCGTGACAACGCCGATTTGCGTTGCGAACTTCCTAAACTGGAGAAACGCCTACGTACTACAATGGAAAGAGTGAAAGCTTTAGAAACAGCTTTGAAAGAGGCTAAAGAGGGAGCCATGCGTGATCGCAAACGGTATCAATATGAAGTAGATCGTATCAAAGAAGCTGTAAGGCAGAAACACCTGGGAAGGCGTGGGCCTCAGGCACAAATTGCAAAACCTATCCGAGCAGGCCAAGGCGCTATAGCTATACGTGGTGGTGGCACAGGCGCTAGTGCTACACAAATGCCTCAAACAAGCGCTGTTAGTTCATAAAAAGATTTAATTTTGTAATTTTTGAATTATCTCAATGTTATTATTATTATTTTTGATAAGTACTTCCTGTCATCACATTTCCTAAGTAATTTGATTTCCTGAGATTTATGTTCTTTTTTTGTGTTTTGGTTTCCTAATCTTCAGAAATCCTAAATAAGAAGAAACCTAAGTAATCACCTTAAGAAAGAATTCAGACACCGTACATAGCAGTATATGTCTAATGAAACAAAAGAAAATCAACAAATTAGCAATAGTAGATTTTTATTTTGGTTTTATTTGCTTGTACATGCCCTGCAATTAAAATGCTAATGGCTAACTTTGTATTCAAGCAAGTGTTTTATTTTTAGTCAGTGCTTATTTTCGCTATTATCTTTGTATTTTCTACATTCAATTATTACCTTAGTGGATCTCAAATCCAGCCTAAAATTTATATTTGAAAAAGAGAAATTGTTTTAATTATTTATTATTTTTAAACAAAAAAATCGTGAAATAAATTAACGAATGCAAATTTTTTTATTTTTATAATATTTCAATGAAGTCGACGTAATCGCACTAAATTACTTGCAATTTCAACGCCTTTAGTTAAGTTGAAGTTGGCTTTGGGTGCAATAGAGGATCTCTTTAAATATAGCTTTTAATACCACAAGGGGCACGTTTATGCATCACCAGTGAATACTGCAATCATGCGCATAAATCATTTATAAAGGTACTAAACAATATGGATGCCTAAATGCAGTCCTGCAGGACGCAAGATGGATTTCTGCTTAGTTCTAAAAAATGATCTTCAGCAACCATATGTTGATACCGATTTACCCAATAAGATATAATTAAACTAGTCGCGGACGAAAAGAAGCCAAAATAAAATTCAACTTTTTGTAATAATAAGTTGTGGTCAAGAGTACCAAAGACCTCAGGGAGTGGTCAAGTCCCCCTTATCACACTTCCGGCGAATATCGTTCAAAACTCTGAGTACTGCCATATTACAACTATGCCAAGGCTTATATAATTCGCTTAATTAACATAATCTAAATTATAAGTATTCAAATGTCATTCAATCTAATCATCAGACGTTGAAAGAATTTAGATAGAGCAGGAACAATGCTGATTGGGCGAATGTCTTCAGGAAGGACAGCAGATGCCTGGAGATTTATAGAGATTTTTTCAAAGAACCTTAGTAGGAATATACACATCTTGGATCTTGTTAAAGTTGTTTAACGCGCCTACTAACATTATGGGCCCTATTTCTGTACTTAGGAAAAACTCCTAGAAACTATTTCGTATTGTGGACATTTCCGCTAAAGGTCTATATATTTGATAGAAATCACGATATAGCGGTTCCCGGTACAAAATTAACAGCAATAACGGCAGCAACACTTATCGGAAAATCTACTTATCTAAAACCGAAGACCTAAGACTGCCCGTTTTAATGGACAATACAATCTCATGTTGCAGATTGTAAGGAAGCGTTCTTGCTTCCTTACTGAGAACAAGTCCGTCCGCCCCAGGGTACTCACCGTCCGCAACCAGTCAGTCCGATCTGTCCGTGCACATCCGTTTGGGTTAATAAAAACATGTACAATCTCCTCCAGCATATGCATAAGTAGAAGGCAATATGTATAAAAGTGTCAGATCAAAACTATGTACAAAAGCATAAATATAAGAAACTATGTACAAAGCCTTAGAACCAAACCGGCATGAAAGCATATATATAAGAAATTCTGTACAAAACTGTATAAAACCTGTATAAAAGCATGAATACAAGAAATTATGTACAGCGCTGTATAAAAGCCTGAATGCAAGCATTTATGTACAAACCTGTATAAAAGCCTGAATACAAGAAATTATGTTCAAACCTGTATAAAAGCACGAATACAAGAAATTATGTTCAAACCGATATAAAAGTATACATATAAGAAATTATGTACAAAGCCTTAGAACCCAACCTGTACAAAAACATAAGTATGAGAACACAACCTGCACCCGACTTATACAAATCAGTAAGATCGGATCGGTACAAACTCAGTAAGATACATGTACACTCACATGAGCACAAACATACACAGAAGCTACAGCAGCATTGCTGTATAGCAACGTTAGGGCACATGAAATATCCAAACAACGTATCGTACCGTTAGGGCAAACAAAACACACAGAAATGAGCGTAGGTAAGAAAACAAGGGAAGCATATACAAGCATGCAAAATGCATAGACTTTAGCACTACACAAAAGTCTCTGTGCTGTAAAAAGCAAAGGGTATAAACTGCAGAAACATCGCATAGCACCGTTAGGTCAGATGAGACAATAGAATACGCACACAAATAGGAAATACATATAGTAATTCGGTAGAAAATCTGGACAACAGATGATCATACAAAGCATACAGGAATAAACATTCAGGTACAAAACGACATAACACATATGAATATATATCATTGCACACACGCATAAACACACAACAACAGAAAAATGCACTTGTTGGTATAAAACCGTAGGTTAAGAAACAAGTACCCACGCACCTGACGGTGGTATAAATCACGCGATTTGGTACCTGGGTACGTATCAAGTAGACACTTAATCAAACATAGCAGTAAGCTAGCTGTTAAGTAATAAGTCGACATTAGATTACGGGCAAGTCGTTCATGCAGGTCGTAACTAAGGCTGTGACAGCAGCCAACCTCAGTTGAGTACACGTATGAATAACCTACCACAACACACATAAATGCCTACAGCCTGAGACATGTTGGAAAGGAACAAGCCAGCCAGGCCCCAGCTATAAAAGAGCAGCGCAGCACACAGAATCTTTCAATTTAGTGCCATAGCTGCCTAAGGTAAGTGCGTACGGACAGCTTACAAGTGACCTTTAGGAAGGATTTTTTTTTACCATTACGGATAGGGGATGACAGGTGTAGCTTTGTCGTCATCCCTGAATGAATAATACGACTATTGACCATTACGGATAGGGGATGACAGGTGTAGCTTCGCCGTCATCCCTGAATGATTAATACAACTATGGACCATTACGGATAGGGGGTGACAGAATTTGTGGCAAGGGTTTAACGTGGGTTCCTGCCTGTAAGGCTTAACCCCACGGTGGCCCAAACCACTTTTAAGCGTACTACGCCCCCTGGCGAGTTAGACAATCCCCACAGAGTAGGGGCCTAAACAGCACTAGAGTCCAGAACAGTTTATTGTGTATGGAACAATAAACCCCACTCTGGTGAATGGCGAGGCCTAGCTGCACTCAACTGTTCCATTTTAGCTAGGAACTCGCCAACCATAACCACCACGAGTACTCCCCGAAGGGCCGCACCCAAGCAGTCAGGACTCACAAATTGATCAACTGACTGCTTCCGCCATAAGGCTTCCACTGTCTTGTTGATCAATTACCACCATTACCCGCAGGCATCCGTGACATGTGTTCAAAAGTAAAAATAGGTAAAAGGGAAAAACTTATTCGTCATATCCCTTTTCCATTTTTGCATGTATTAATTAATTTACCAGACATTTTCTATCAATCGGCCAAAGGGAAGGCCGTCCGTCAATTCCTTTTTGCATTAATAGTATAATTAATTTATTTATTTGTTACGACTTAAGGACAAAGTCCATCGTATACCCGCAGGCATACGTGGCTTTGTGAGGCGAGCTTCCTGACCCCCGTGGCTCCCAGTTTGTTTTGCAAAGCCTTTGGCATACTTTGGGCGGTTGTTAAAAACAACCGTACTTGCTTCGGATCCTCCATACTTTCCTGGTTGCTACACCAAGTGAACTACTTTTCTTTAAGATATATAGGTCTCGGGTATTGCACTGAACATGGTAGACTAGTCTAATGCACTCTACCATGCACTCGCTAGATTACTACCTTCATTGTACTTAAATACCATTCAATATATTTCCTCGGTAGTAACTAGCTTATTGAGTAAGAGCTCTTCTTCCAGCCAACCCCTCCACCATCTATCAGAAACTCGTCGCCGAGTTAGCAGCCCAAAACCTTAAACTCTTCTTAGCCGGCCGAAGCCGTTGCCCGGGGATCACCGCTGGGAGGTGAGAGTTTCGGCACATCTATGCTTCTTATCAAAGCATAGTTCATCTCCCCAGGATAGGGGGTGACAAGTGTAGCTTCGCCGTCATCCCTGAAAGACGAGGGTATAGTGTTTTTTTTTTCTGACTTGCATGCAAATGACCAACTCGAGACAAGCCGTGGGCAAAGAACCAAGGCAGCTATGACACCTGCAACGCATCCGGTCTTTTCTTCTAGTGTCCCGCGATATTGAAAACAAACACGGAAAAAAAGAAAACTACTTTCGTACGTGGAAAATAAAACGGTAATAGCGCGACAAGTCGGGTCACCTCGCTGGTTCCTGTCCTAGCCCGTCTCTGCACAACGCTGTACCCCGCTTAAAATTCAATAAAAGGAAATTGTAGACCATTTTTCCCGCAGGACCAGAATATTTCATTCTACATAAATTTTCTTGCAATGAACCCCGGATTGACTGAGTTCCACCCCGGCCAAGAAGACTCGTTACAAGGTGTTACAACGTTTTAAAAAACTGTAGCAGCACAAAGAGTAAAAAACAGAACACGAATATCAGCACCAGAGGACAAAAACACACCATCATTCACTGCAACAACAACAACAATGGCGTCATGTACGACCGCTTGAGGGATCAAGTAGGTAAAGGATCTCGGCTAACAGCTTAATGATCGTGGGTTTAAATCTCAAGTGCGGTAGAATTTTCAATAAAGCGGATAGCTTTAGATGCTATTGCTTTATGATCTTAGTGTTAAAATTTATTTCTTTGGCTAAATTAGTAAAACAATTAGAATAATAATAACACAATAACAGTCGCCCCAACAACCGCACGAATATAGGTAGCAATGACTAGTAAATTCAAAATTGGCCGTTGCAATGTGCGGAAGTTTTGATCTAGTATATTCGCACTCTATGGGACTCAAGTAAGTAAGCACAATGGTCTAACCGATTTACACCTGCTTAGTTATCGCATAACTTGCAATTTCAGAATATACAGAGGCATTGTGACATTATATAATATATTAGTTTGAAAAAGAAATCCATTATTTTGTCGGTAGATGGCTGCACTGATAGATTTCTCGTAAAGTATCGATCAAACAATCTCCGATACTGTACATTTACATACTGTACATTTCGCAGTAAAAAAAATTCTTTTGCTGTTTTTTGTTTGGTGCATTCAGTTGTGAGTTACAGCGTGTTAAAAATGGAAGTGAACAAAGAGAAAATTCGGTACATTTTACAGTTTTTCTTTGACAAAGGCGAAAATGCAAGCCAGGCGGCTAAAATTGTGAATGGTGTTTATGGTTCCGATACTGTAACAGCCAATTATGTGCAATTTTGGTTTCGCAGATTCCGTTCGGGAATTTTTGATGTTAAAGGTGCACCTCGCACAGG